CACACACACACAGACACTCACACAGACAGACACACGCACAGACAGACAGACAGACACACACACAGACAGACACTCACACGCACAGATAGGCACACACAGACAGAGACACACAGGCAGACACACACGCCCCTCAGGTTAAAAGGAGGTGAACATGCTTTAAATAAGAAACCAGGGGATGACGTCACAGCAGCCATTCCATCTTTTATTTACAGTTATATTACAGCTGCCATTAGTCAGGATAATCAGATGTCATGTGACCTGTCATTGTTTGAGAGGTTAAGTTTAACTAGCAGGTGTAGACGTGTCACCTGGCGCTCTGCCGGCCATCTCTGTGTTCAGTCACCTGCTGCAGACCGGCGCCATCGAGGACCTGGTGATCGTCTCTGAGAGGCAGCTGGTGAAAGGAATCAGTCGGATCGTTGCCGTGACGGGACAGGAAGCGGCACGGGTCAGTGAAGTCATGACATAATGATTAGGTGGAATAAAATGAGACGTAGCTCTTTTAACACTCTGTGCTCTCAGGCTCGGGAGGCGGGGCACGTTTTATCTCAGGACGTCGACTCTCTGTCAGCCAGACTTGGACGCTCCGCCCCCTCCTGCCTGGACACTGCCCAGTGCTTTTCCAAGGAGGTGGGCGTCCTCTCAGATGTAAGTATGATGACCTGTCAGTAAGAGAAGCCACGCCCCTAACAATCCAAACGTTATAGAGTTTAAACAGGTGAGTTATAATCAGCAGAGGAAATATTATCTATAGACACCCAAACAGTTTGTGTATGAGGCTGTGGACTGACCCATGAACAGCACACGTCCCAGCTTCCCGTGTGAGCCTGTGTGCACTTTGACCCTGTGCTGTGTCTCCCAGGCTGTGGATAACACCCCCATCCCACAGTGGCAGCGCAGAGAGCTGCAGAGTCGACTCCGCGCTCTGCAGAGGACGAGCAACACCGCCGTCAGGAAACTGGAGACCAGAGAGGTGAGCACGCCCTGAGACGCACGCAGGGCTAATCAATCAGAGCTGATTACACCCCCACCCATTGGTGCTCTGCTGATGATGTCATTAAACCCAGGTGATTTACGTGTGATCCACCTGACTGTGTGATGGGGGACAGTTTGAGTGTGTGGCTGCTTTGACACTCTTTTCCCATCATGCTTTTTTCAGGCGGCAGTGCAAGCTCAGGCCCTGCAGGAGAAACACGGAAGGACGGAGCTGCTGGTGGACTTGGTGGAGACCAGCTCTCTGTCAGTACGTAGAGACCGTTCCTAATGAAGCCTCACACACTTTAAATTCATGCTTTTAATCCCTGTTCAGTTTGATTCATGCAGCACAAAATCACAGAAGGTGCCTCAAGAAGCGTCCTACCACTAGGTGACAGTGGGAACAAAGAACTTTCAATTCAATATATTTATGCAGCACCAACAACAGTCGCCTCACAGCGCTTTATACTGTAAGGTCGACCCTACAATAATACAGACAGAAAAACCCAACAATCATATGACCGCCTATGACCAAGCACTTCGGCGACAGTGGGAAGGAAAAACTCCCTTTTAACAGGAAGAAACCTCCGGCAGAGCCAGGCTCAGAGAGGGGCGGGGACATCCTGAGCCTGGTTCTGTCGGATCACTGAGGTTCTGCTCTGATGTGGTTCTAATGTTTCAGGTTCTGATGAAGACGGTGAACCAGCTGAGCTCCACTGCTCCTCTCAGTCATGTGATGCTGCTCGCTCACCAGAGGCATTCTGGCAAGGTTTTGTGTGCCTGTCAGGTTCCCAAGGTAACTACCATTAAGCAGCCAGGCTCCGCCCACTTTGATGTTTGTCTTAAATGTGAGGCTTAACAGGATGTGACATCAAAAAAGCCGTTCTTATTTAAACAAAGGTGTAAATGAAACTCTGAGTTTGTTAATTCTGAGATCAAACTTTTCTGCTTCCAGGAGACAGTTAAATGCTCAGTCAGTTACCGTGGTAACAGTGCTCTATTGACGGTACCTTTCTATCACTAAAACACGGTGAACATTCTCAGAGCTGTTTGGACAATGTCTGATCAGGAAAAGGAAGCGCCTAATTGACCGCCCCTTCCTCTGCAGGTCTCGCCATCCCTCGTCGCTTCTGATTGGGCAGTGGCTGTGTGTTACCACCTCAACGGGAGCGCCAGTGGCTCAGAGGTGGTTGCCAAGGGAACAGGAAACAGCAATGACATCACCGAGGCTCTGAGGTGGGCCAAGGAGTTCGCCTCCCAGAGAATACAGTGATGATGTCATAAAGAGACCCTCTTCTCATTGGATGATAGGCTGAGGCGAACTTTTTGAACACATGAAGTTTGATTTCAAAGAGGACAGACAACCATGCTCTCGATATTCTCTTTATTGTGAAAGGTTACATTATGAAACACTCAGCTAATCACAGCACAGGGAGGATTAACCAATCAGAAACCAGCCCCCAGCAGGTTCATCACCTGGCGTTTCGAGGACCTCAGAGCAGCGACACGTTGAGCCACTGCAAAGACACAAACACAGGTGTTAAATCATGTGACCACACACCTAAATCTTTTCAAAGGTGATCCCTCACCAAGTCTGGGCTTTCAAAATAAAAGCCTGCCAGGGGTGACAACTCAGCTTAAAACCAAACTTTGTTTTTCAGAATAAAGTTTCATTTCCTGAATAAAGCTACGACCCGTCCAACCCATAGATTGGTTATAAACGAGAAACCAGCAGCTTCACATTCACCTGAAATTCCTGTTGTGAACAGGAAGTAAACATGTAGACTTTCTAAATAAGAGTCTCAGCAGCTTTAAAGGTGTCCTGCAGAGGTGCTGTGTCTTTGTTTTGGGTTTGAATATTAATAAAAAAACTTTGTTCACCGTTTTGTCATTTCATTACACTCAGAGCTCTGCCTCCTTACAGGTGAGGAACCCTTCAAGGGTCATGAAAAGGTCAACTCTTAATTGCTTAGAGTCACCAGTAGGTGGAGCCTGCTTCAGCGCTGAGTGAGGATGGCTGTGTGGTTAATAATGAAGATGGTACCTCCATCAGGTTGAGCTCGATGGTTCCCGACCCGTCTTTCTCCAGAGCGCTGAAAGCGTCTGCAGAGAGGAAATGGACAGGATGAAGAGGAGGATGAAGATAGAAACATCTGTGACTCAGGGCTGCGACGACTCACCAAACATGGCCTCCTGACGCACCAAGCAGCCCACGAAGTTGTCAAAGTCGATGGTGAGATCGGGTTCGCTGTAGCAAGCCACAGGACCTGATGGAGCGGATTGTTCAGGGAGAAACCTGCAGCACACAGAGGTCACACATGTGAGCACATACAGGTAAGCACTCAAGCAAGCAAACAGGCCTGACGAAGCTCACCTGCGTCTTCCACCGCCGACCTCATGGACCCTGAATTGTCCACGTCCCTGTCACGCTAGACTCTGACAACAGAAACGCATCACATTCACGTCAGATCACCACGCCAATGCCCGGTGGAATGACCTCTGGCTCCAGGATGGGTTCGCTGTCCGGCGTCACTGAAGCAGCAGGTGTGCAATTACATGATCAGGCACACGTCTGGGATTCATTACTCTAGCTACGAGCGAGATCACATGAAAGAGGCGGAGTTTGATTGCAGCAAACTCCGCCTCTTTTGTAATTGGGCACAAAGCGGTTGTGTATCTTAGGGTAAAGGCAGCACAGCGGATGGAGGATGAAGGAGCGCTAGGACCAAACTAATCGATGCTATCAATATCACAGCAGATCAATAAAGCTTCGAGCAGCTGCCACAAACATTCTTTTACTTGTTTAGCTCGAGTCAAACGGGCCGCGAAGCGCTACAGGCTAATTACCCCACTGAGCGCCACTCTGTTCTTAAAGCACTTTATAAACGAGGACTGAAGGAGAGCCCGCCTGAGTCACCAGACCAACAAGCTCCAACACCAGCTGTGCGATCATCTGCACAAAGACTGTAGAACAAAGAGGGCTGCTCCAGCGAGCAGCGAGCGGTCGCTCCAGCGAGCAGTCGCGCCACCTTCCAGAGATCTGACAGTGACGCGCTCTGGTTTCACCTGGGATTTTAATGCGGTTGCCAGGCAACATGATCATATACAGTCCTGAACAGATTTAAAGCGCCTGTCAAAAACAAGTTAACAAACTAAGAATATTTTTTACAGTGTGGGCATCTCTGAGCCTTCACTAATTAATAAATCACAACGTCAAACCACCAAAATTTGCTTTTGTTCAGGAATGAACTAACTAATAATTTATCTTAACAACATATAATAATAAAAAATAATAATAAAACATATTATTATTATCATCCCACTGGGTTTGAATCTGGGACTCTCCACCATTTGACCCTAGAACTGAAGAAGCTTCTCTGCTGATAGTTGAAATGTCTTAAAGCAACTTAAGGAAGTCCAGACACTTTTCTTTCCAAGCTCCTTAGACTACGATGACCTGGATGACTGAGAACCTTCACAGACAATAATATGCTTTATTATTTTTTAAGTAAAAAAGTACATTTGAGTCCATGGTAACAGCAGTAATTATCTATTTTAGTTAAAAACTTAATTTAGATTAAAGTGTTTGTGCACACTGGTGGATTAACTATTGATACTGGTAATTTGGGGCAGCTGTGGCAAAAACCCAACACTAGGTGGTGCTCTGATGTATTATTTAAGCTCTGCATGAGATAATGTTAAACTTTTGTGGCTACAAATGAGACGTTATCGCCATGAAAGAGCGGCAGCCTGCTGCTAGGTGTCATAACACCTGATTAGTGAGAATGTGTGCGTGTCAGGTTTGGTGAGCGCGCAGAGGAACCGGTGTACTAATCTTTCCACCACCCTCGCCTTCATCACGCTCTCCCGGCCTGTACTCATCAGATAGTTCTCGATCTTGGTCCACAGCACCTTAAACTCGACCAGCCCCAGCTTCCCAGTGCCATCTTTCTGCAGCAGAGTTCAGGAAGGGAATTGACCTCAGAGACTTTTCATAGTAAGAGTCCTCTGATCACAGACAGACCGGTGAAGAGGCTTTCAGAATAAAAGCTTTACAGATACAGGGCTGCAGGAATGAGTGTTTTGCACTTCCTGTTCACTCGTTTGAAGTGGTTTCATGTTTTCGTTGGACGCTGAAATGATACCAGCGTGTAACACTTTTATTCGGACTTTATTCGTTTTCCCTCCTCCACTGATGTGAACCACTGACGTCACCTGTTCCACATACCTGTGGAAAATGTGCAGTCTGTCGCTCAGGTAATAATGGATTGGATTTAAATAGCGCTTTTCAAGGCACCCAAAGCGCTTTACAATACCACTATTCATTCACTCTCACATTCACACACTGGTGGAGGCAGCTACAGTTGTCTACAGGTAGACAAACGATCGGGGTCACAGACCTGTGAGTCCACCTCACAGCAGCAGCCAGGTGACAATAATCAATAGTTGAGCGGCTGGTACTCTGGTGCAGTCAGCACAATCTGGAGCTGAACACTCTTAAGACTGTAGAGATGACAGTGGACTTCAGGAGACATCCCTCAACTCTGCTCCCCCTCACCATATCAGACAGCCCTGTGTCAACTGTG